CCAGCCTCCTGTCCGACGCCCCGCCAATTGTGGCTAGTTGAGCTGCTCGCAGTTGCTGAGGTGTGATACGAATCCCGTGGTAGATCTCGCTTTGCTGGAATTTAGGGAATAACGTGGTGGCGAAGAAGCTGAGAATCTGCTCTTGGGCCTTATTAAACATGGCCGGACTGGAGCTAGTTAAACTGCTTTGCAGGTCTGTGTGAATTATTGGCGAAGAAAAGGGCACAAACTCACGGGATTGCGGGTCACAGAACCGGTTGAACAGCTTTCTCGCCTGTCGAGCGAGGTAGTCGGAAGTCGGGAACTGCTGGAATGTGGCGATCTCGAAGAAGAAATACAACTCGTTTGCGCACTGCTCACGCTCCAAGAACCGTCGGAAGTACTTGCGAAGTAGCTCGAGCTCCAAGAACTCACGTAGAGATAGTTTAGAGACTTCGAGAAAGCCGACGCTACTAGAATTGCTGGTCGTGTGTTCCTCTCCGTCGTGTGAAATTCCTGGATGTGGTGACGCAGGTGACGCGGCGATCTGATCCAGCATTTCCTGATACAGCGAACTGTTGCGGAATTTCGGTAAGTCACGTGTTTCCCATTGCCGAAGGACCAGGCGCTGCGCATCTGAGAACGTGGCTTCCGTCGGGGTCGCCAGCTTCCAGAGGATATCTCGTCGAGTCTCAACCGGCATCTCCAGCTCCAACCTCGCTCCACGACGAACGTACTTGTCAAATATCCGTCGCGCGCGCATTTGAATGTACTGCTGCTGACTATGGGGGAGACGTTGGAACTCACACACTTCTTTGTAGAAGAACAGTGTGTTCTCGTCCCCCTGCTCTCGCAAAAAGTCTCGAAACGAATGCACACCCGCACCTTCCAGAATCTCAGCGAGGGCGATCGATCTGGCGGTCCCACCACCATCACTACTTGTCGCCACAGCTGTAGCTACGGCTGTAGTTACGGCTGTGGGTATGGCAGGAATACTGTCATCGATGGATGGGCCTTGCAGTTCTAGGGCTTTGTCTTCAACGCCACGGCTCTGCTTACCATTAGCCAGCTTGTTTTGTTGTTGTACATTCTGCCTCTGAGCTTCGGATTGATACGACAAATAGGCCACTGTGCGATAAAAAGCATCGAGATGTGACTGAACCAATTCGGCACTGCAGAGAAGAACGGCATCGCTGAAGATATCCGCACCTAGCGGATACTCCACAAGGCGCTCCAGCAATCGGTCTTTGACGGCGGTTCCTAGACACACCTCTGCCTTCGATCCGAAGCGCACGTATTTGTTGAAAATCTTGTGCGCCTGTCGGACGCAGTAGTCTTGGTGAGACTCCATTGATAGGGATGCTGTACTCTGGACAACAACCGCGGATTTCTCTCGATTTTCAGGTTGTGTCATGAACGAAGTGGATGGCGCGTGCTTCAAAGTGTTTGTCAGATCTTCAAACGCCAGCGCATCGATGATGAAAAGCAGATTTTCGACCGAGTTTCGGGCTTCGAGGAACTCGCGGAACATCCGGCATAGTGCAGGGGTCAAGAGGATGTGGTGCAAATGGGCTCGCCGATCGCCGTTAAATACGCCACCGCCTGCTGCTCGTTTGGCTAGTTGAGCCAAAACATTCCTCATCGATCCACTCTTGGTGGCGTGTGGGTAGCCTAACGGACCAGGTTCTCGTACATATTCGTCAAAGTTTGCTGTAATCACGTCAAGCACGTCGAGTAGTAGCATCTTAAATACCAACAGTGAACGCTCTGCATTCCTTTCAGCGAGGTATTGGGCTAAAGCTTCTCTCTCCGATGGACACACCATGGGCAGCAAGCGCACTGCTCCCTTTGCGACATATGCATCAAATAGGTCATCCATGAGGCCCATTTGGAAGGAGGAAACACCTCCCGCCGCAGTTGAACTAGGAATCTTCAGCAAGTCGCTGATCTCTAGCCAGAACAATGCGCAATTCTCGCGATAGTCTGCCGTTCTAGCTTCTCCGCATCTAATTCGTAATGTTTTTCCCTCGCCGTCAGCCAAAGCTTCACACTTCATTTGGGTGTGGACTCCAACTCCGTCGTCATCGCCAACAAGTTGGAGCTTATCCATGTGAGCTGCAGCTCGTAGATATTTGAAGAAACCGATTCTCGCACGTTCATCTCGTAGCAGAACATCAATTCCGATTGTTACAGGCTTGTGTATCTTCCGTCGCTTGCCTGTCGGTGCTGTCAAAAGTCGATTTTCACTACGAGTTTGTCGCAGAGTAGCCCTGATTACTCGTCCTTGCGGAGCTGGCAATGTCGAAGCTTCAGCTACTGTCAGGGTTTCCTAGAATAGTATTGCAATTATATGGTAAACAACTGATGAAATATATAATGGTGAGCATGGTAGAGCCGACATGAAATACATTATTGCACCCTTGACAAAGATGAAATACATTATGCATACCTCAAATTCAATTCTGCTTACCAACCATCTGCACCATTGCCACGTTCCAATATCGGCGATTTGTCTTGAGAAATAGGATGTTTTCCAGTTGGGCCGGCGCCATGGCTTGCCGCTGAGGAGACAACACGATTCCAGCTTGGCTAAAAAAACGTTCGGCAATATTAGACGTCGGTGGAATGTATTGCACCAACTCGTATCTGTTCATATACAAAAGGAATTGGTCAAATTGACATGACAACGACATTTAAAAAGCTCCTACCTCGGTTGCTGTTGCGCATCCACCTTCCGCTTCTTAAGTGCTTGCTCAGCAAAGCTGAGCTTTTTATTTTCCTTGTTGGCTGCGGCATGCTGAGGTTGGATTAAGGCTGGAGCAGCAAATTGAGCTAGAGCCGCGACAGAGTTTCGCGTCAAATGCCGAGTCTCTCCGTTCAGAACTTGTACGCACGCCATCT